AACAGGATAAACTTGAGGCTTTTATCAGTAAATGGATGCAAGTACATACTATATTGTCAAGTGAAATTAATCAGACCCATATGTGCCAACATCATATTGTCTCCTTAGTGTGAGAACCTGAAAGAGAAAATAAAATTTGAAGAGTACAGCAGATTCTTGGAAAAGGGAATGAACCTCTTCAAAAGGAAGAAATTGCTGAGTTGGAGAAGGACAGTAGAGTGAGTGGGGAAAAGAATTATATCTATGTATATAAGTAGGATGGTTTGGACAACAGTAGTGTGGATTTCTGCTGGTCTGTGGAGAGGAACAAGAATGCTTAAGTGCTTTGAACCCTTTTTTCAATGCTTTGTCCTTTTTCTCTTATTACTTTCTTATATGTTTTTTTCTTCTTCTAATTTTGCACACATTCATATGGTAATATGAACAACTAGTTGGAAGCCAATGCAGCATTACAAGAAATACTGTGAAATTCATATGGTTTTGTTAAGCAGAATTATGTATCACTTGAATTTTTTCTGTTTTTGTACTATTTTGTACTCTCTTTAAAAAATAAAAACACTCACAGTCTTTCTGTTCCACCCCACCCACCCAACCTCCATAGACTGTGATAATAATTATTCATCAATATTCCCAATGATCCATAATCCTTTATTAATTTTTGTAAGATGTAAAAAATGTTCACACCAAAAGCTCAGATTGGGAGCAGCCTTTCCTTTCACAATCAGAGAAACACCTCAAAGTGCAAATACTGAAGGAGGTATCACAGGGAAAGCAAGAAGTGGATCTAGGGGTCATTTTTTTTCTGTCTTTCTTTCTTTTTTCTTTACTTCTTTTATTTCATAGAGGAGAATGAGATCACTTCCTCTACACAGAGTTACATCCTGGGCCCTTATTTCATGTTTTTTTTAAATAATTTTGAGACAGCAGTAACATAACTTATCATGTAACTAGTAACCCAGTATGGGCTTGAACGTGCAATCCTCCTGCCTCAGCCTCCCAGAGCTTTGGGATTTTTGGTCTGCACCTCTATGCCTGGCTCCATTTAATTTTTTCTTCTTTGAAATCAGGGCCTCTCTATGCAGACTGGGCTGGATTGAAATGGAATCCTCATGCCTCAAGCTCAGGACTTCTGGGATTATTTACTCTTTTTTGAAAGACTCATTTGGGCAGCTGCCCTGTGTTGGTGGGAGGTAGTGCCAGCAGAGTGATTCCTGGCTCCTAAATTGAAGAGGGAGAAGTAGGAGTGGATGGATGGCCTGCAGGGCAAAGGGGCAGCCACTGATCATCTTGTCACTGCACAGCAGTTAGAATGAGGTCACTTTGTGGGAAAGACGGCTCAAGGACAGGCCATCTCCTCAGGTTTGCTGGGGAAGGAAGCTGCCTGCAGGACTCTGTCTC